CACCCCTGTTCCCTCCCGTCTCTGACTAGGGGTGGCTGCCGTGGCTCCTGCTCTCCACACCCCTGTTCCCTCCCGTCTCTAACTAGCGGTGGCTGCCATGTGGCCTCATGCAGGGGCTGGTGCTTCTGGGCTTGGGGACCCCCGAGTGGTGGCGGCCTTCATTTCAGAACATTGCCCTCACAGCCACCTCTCCCCGATCCTTGCAGGTGTTTGCTGAGTCCAGCCGCCCCGGGCCTCCAGGATTGCCAGGTAAGGGCCCCGGGCTCACCGCTGGGGATACAGACTCTGAAGGAACGCTCCAGGGCCCCACGTTCCTTTCTGCGCCAGCAGCAGTGAGACTCCCCCAGTGCCCTAAGGCCAGTGCCACACGCCCAGTCCACGCCCCAGTTCTGATGATCTTGGCCCTTCCTGGGTGCCCTCCCAGCACGGCTGTCCAGGACCTGACCTTGGGGTGGCCCCATTTGCTGTTCTCCATTTAGACTTTGCTTTTCTGCCCACAGCAGAGTAGAAGCAGCCCCATCCCTGCCGTTGGTCAGCACGTGCCCTGCAGATGTGGCCTGGCCTCCACGTGGCCTGCTGAGGGGGACCCGGGGTGCCCCTGCTCTCCCGGAGCTCCTACCCTGACTGTCCGCACGTCCATCTGATGCCCCCCATCCAGGCCCCCAGGCACTGGGGCATTTCAGGCAGGAGGGGCACCACCCTGGAGCCCTCCCTGGCACACTCCGTGACGGGCACTGGGTCTCTCTTCCTCTAGGGAATCAGGGCCCTCCAGGACCCAAGGGCACCAAAGGAGAAGTGGGCCCCCCCGGACCACCAGGTGAGCACCTCTGGGCCTCCCAGGCGGAGGAGCCGTGGCGTGGCCAGCACTGAAGCGTGCTCACACCCAGAGCCCCCCGGCGGCTCCTGGACCCTCACTGGGTGGTGACCACCTCACCCTGTAGAAGGAAGGAAGCCCCTTCTGGGTTGATGCGGCCGTCAAAGGACCTGGATTTGGAGGCAGGGGTGGCTGCAGGGCACAGGCCCAGCAAGATACCCCCATCACCCCATGTCCTGAGGAGCAGGCGGCCGCCCTTCCGCACTAGACCCCAATGGGCACTGTGCAAAGACACAGCAGCCTCGGCGTGCCAGCGGTCCTGAGACACCCCTCCCCTCCCCTCCACGGGGCCAGCGGTCCTGAGACACCCCTCCCCTCCCCTGCCCTCCCCTCCACGGGGCCGGCGGTCCTGAGACGTCCCCTCCCCTACATGGGGCCGGGGGTTGGCCCTGGAAGACCTTCTGTCGAGAAACTCTCCAGGGCCTCGTGTGGGAAGGAGGCGTTGCCCAACAGGCTGTCCGGAGGGTGAGCCCAACACCCCCGCTCCTCCTGAAGGACGAGAATTGCCCCCTGAGCCCTACCTCCATTGAGGGTGGTGGGGCTGCTTGGATGTCCTGCCAAG